AAGAAAGGAAAAATAACTCTAATATGCAAATATTAATAGAGTTTTGAGCAGCCCTATTTTTCATTAATTGCTCTTCATTAGGCCTCTAATTTATGACAGCACTCTTATTTTTCTCTTGCTTGAGAAAAATAGTCTTCCTCGCCATGTCCATGAAGGCTCACTTGACTTGCTGATTCCTTAGGTCGTAGATAAAGGGGTTCCATATGGGGGCTACTGAAGTATTTAGCACAGCAACTCCCTTGCTCATGTAGTAAAGGGAAATAATCACAAGTAAAATGATCTATAATATTGAACTTACAGTAATCGAGCTGTATGAATAGCATGAGTGATGGGAATATGATTAAGAATGAAGCCAGCCAAGAGACAAAGACAAGGAGTGTGCAGACTCTCCTATTCATTATGGTCATGTAAGGCAGAGGTTTGCAGATGGCGATGAAATGTTCATAGGACATCATGGCCAGAAGGCAAAATTCAGTGACTCCCAAGAGAATGAGAAACAATAATTGAGCCATGCAATCACTAAAAGAAATGGTTTCATCTCCTGAAATAATGGTACCCAGGAAGTTGGGTGTACTGACAGTCATAAGTGAAACGTCTAATAAAGAGAAATTTCTGAGGAAGAAATATGTGGGAGTCTGGAGTGGGAATCCAGCAGTGCCAGGGTGATAATGGTCAAGTTCCCAGTGATGCTGAGCATGTAGGTGATGAGGAGAAAGACAAAAATCACTCCCTAAACTGGATCATCTGACAGTCCCAGGAGAATAAACTCAGTTATTTTTGTGTGATTTCTCATTCTTCAGTTGTCATTTGTTTTTCTCCTGCCAGATCTGTATGAGAAAGCACAAAGAACAAACTTGAAGAGTGGCTTGACAAACATCCAAGTGCAGAGCTGGAATTTGGCCTGAGTAATATGCCCTTTCCACCTTCAGGGGAAATTTAAAACAACTTGATGTTTACAATGATGCTTTAATTTCCTCTCCTTCGCACGTAGAAACTCTGGGGCTAAAGCAGATTAAAAAATTTTTTTTGGATTACGCAACTTGAAGTGATAGCACTGGGATTTATAAGCCAACCTTTACAATCCTAAATAAAATACAATGTTAACTTTCAAAGATCTTACACGCAAGGTTCCTAACCAATAAGAACCACCTTGTGTCATTGCCCCAATCCCCATACAAATTTTCTATTGTGTTAGGTACAGGTTTAACCACAGTGAGACTTTTCCAAAATGGTACATATACCTTATTTTTTAATAATAAGTGACTTGTTTATCCTTAGCCATCTACCACTCAGCTTTTCCAACTCTTAGTGGTACATCACTGCAAGTGAGATATACTGAAGCTATTGTCATGAGAAACCCAGATGTTAGGGAAGGAGGCAGAAAATAACATACACAGGAAGCACTTAAAACCGAGTTGATTGCGTGTGAATCCCTGGCGATGTTTCATGACAATTCAGCCTATGTGTCATAATTGTGGAATTTATTTCAATACAACTGATGCTCCTTTCTATTTATAATAATAACTATTATTATTTTTATTTCAGAAGAATTTCCCTCAGTCAAAGGCACAAATAGGTGTTATTGAAGAAGGCTGATTGTAATATGTTTATGTATTTATTACTTTTTTGTTTGTGTTTAAAAATTTAGGGTTTTAATTTTTCTATTTTTTAATAAAATGAAAAGGTATTACCATAGATATTGCTATAAGGAAGACTGAGGATTTCTAGGTTTGAATCTAGGCCACTTACTATGTCTGAAAATCACTTAACTTCTCTGTGCCTCAGTTTCCTCATCCATAAATACATTTTCTTCCTTTGAATATCTGTCTATCTTGTAGAGTTGTATGAGCTTTAAATAAGTTAGTGTATGTGAAGCATTTAGAAAAATGCCAAGCACACAACGAAAGTCATATAATGATTTGCTCTGTGAAAAATATGTTTCCTAAACAGTAAATTAAATACTTTCAGATTAAGATGGTGTGCTATGTAAAGGCTAGGTATTCAACATGGTGCTGAAAGTCCCAGCCAGGATAATTAGGCAAATTAAATACAAATAAGTGAATAAGTAAATTGCATCCCTATTTACAAAGAAAATGATCTTATATATAGAAAACACTAAAACTCCATAAGAAAGCTGTTTGAACTAGTAAATGAATTCAGTAAATTTGCAGGATACAAAATCAACATTAAAAATACCTATCGTGTTTCTATACACTATTAGTGAACTATCTGAAAAGGAAATTAAGTAAAACCTTTCAATTATAATACCACCCCAAAGAATAAAATACTTAGGAAAAACTTAATTAAGGATGTAAAAAACTTGTACCCTGAAGAATAGAATACTCTGACAAAAGGAATTAAAGAAGACACAAACCAATGGAAAGACATCCAGTGTTCGTGGATTGGAAAACTAAATACTGTAAATGTGTCCATGCTCCCCAATGCGATCTACAAATTCAATGCAATCCCTGTGAAAATATCAATGGTCTGTTTTTTTTCAGAAATAGAAAAAAATAATTCTAAAATCATGTGGAACCACTAAAGACTGTGAATAGTCAAATCAATATTGAGAAAAAAAGGTCAAAATTGGCTTCCAGCTTTCAAAATATATCACAAATCTACAATATCTGTATCAATAAGGGGTAAATGTCCAACATATATAAGGAACGCCTATAAATCAACAGCAAAAAGCTGAAAGAAACAAATTCTAGTAGCCTAATTAATAATGATCTGAAGACTTGAGCAGGACATTTTTCCAAAGAAGACATACAAATACAAGGAGATAAATGGCCAATAGGCATTTGATAGATGCTCAGTGTCACTAATTTTCAGAGAAATGCAAATCAAAACCACAGTGGTATATCACCTCACACCTATCAGGATGGCTATTATCAAGGAACGAGAAGATAACAAGTGTTGGTGAGGATGTGGAGAAATTACAATCCTTGTCCGTTGTTGGAGTGATTGCAGAATTGTGCAACTGCTGTGGAAAACAGTATGGATGTTCTTCAAAAATTAAAAATAGAACTACTATGTTATCTAGCAAGCTAGTTCATGGGTATATATTTAAAATAATTGAAATCAGTGTCTCTATGAGATGTTAGCATTCCTGTGTTCATTGCAGCAGTATTCACAATTGTCAGGATATGATAACAACTTAAATGTCCATGGCAGGGTAAATGGATACAGAAAATATGGGAAATAACATACAATGGAATACTATTCAGTCTTAAAAAGAAAGGAAATCCTGTCATATGTGGAATGTGGTTGCAGGGGGTGGAGAAGGGGGAAATGGGAAAGTTGCTAATCAACGGACATAAAGTTTCAGTTTTACAAGATGAATAAGTTGTAGAGATCTGCTATACAGCATTGTGCCTACAGTTAACAACACTGTCTTACGCCCTTCGAATTTCATATGGGTAGATCCTGTGTTAACTGTTCTTACCCTTAAAAAAATGTAATCTGTACCTACTCGCAACTGTAACAGTTAGATATAGAGAATAATACTAATAATAATTGCTACAATTTATTGACAGCTAATTATGCTATATGTGTTACAGATTTATTTCCATCCCTATAGTAAGTTATGTCATACCTGATTTACCAATAGCGAAATTCACACCTAGAAGTTATAGAAACCTCAAGTTTGTCAACTATATTTGTTTTATTTAACATACAGATTGTACTTCAGATAGGTTGAATTGAAACTGAGAAACTATCCATAACTTTCCTCTAACATTGTGAATCTCCTTCAATTTTCTATTACTTTTTGTTCTCTCTCAACAAATTCTGTGCTGGCTTTCTCAACTGAATATATCACACGAGGATCATCAGGAATGTTGTACTACTCATTAAGATCACAGCATATTTTTTATTACTAAAAAGTGGTTTATATAATTTAGAATACCTTTTAGTATCCGTAATTCTTATTTGACATTGCACTCATGCACACACACACACACATGCTCACACATCATCTCAAAATACTTTAGGCACTTACTAATGCCTTAAGTAGAATGAGTGGAAGAATATTTTAACAGATGAAATCCTATTTTTGTATAAGATGGGAAACTCTACTTGATTATGAAGCTTTTATTTTCTGGAAAGCTTAAATTATTTCTTTAGGTACAAAATAATTTGGATACAAGCCCTGTGTCAAACCAGTCCAAATCTTGAGAAAGAACTATATGCATATGTGTGTATGTATATATATATGTATGTAAATTATACATATACATATAAATTTATATATGTATATTTCAGCTTAGTCAGAAAGCAGAGCTTACCTTCTATGGAATTAAAGAAAGTGAACTCATTCTACATATCTAAAATGGATATTTATTCGCTATTTTCTGCAGTTTGTATCTGTATATGTATCTACCTACCTATATCTATGGAGTCATTATGGGATTTGGAAATACAGAGACTATTTAGTACCATATCTACAAAAGTATATATGTTAAAGATCTATGCTTTTTATCGTTAGATAAATTATATTGACTTACCTCATTAAAGTGAACAAGTAATGTTTTTTGGTTTCTGAATGAAAGCATTTACATTTTTTAATTTAGCCATTAATTTTTTTTAGAGAAACTGCAAGATGATGAAAGGAATTTCTGTCAAACATAAATGAATATCACAAAACTATATTTTCTATGTTGACTAAGTAAAATATCACATCAATATTTATACATTGTTTCCTCCATTCTTGGCGATCATTTTCTTTTCCAAAACAAAACTCAAAATACAATTTTACTTTTTAAAACAACTATTGTTTAATATCTTGCAACTAACACAGTGTTCAGAAGTATGAGAGTCAGAGAGACATAAGAAAAGTTATTTAAATTGAGTGAGAAATATATTAAACGAATGTGCTTGTAAACTACTAGAAAAAAAGAAAGAGAATGAACTAGTCTAACAGGAGGCTGTTGTGATTAGAAGAAGCTACTGAAATTTCATGTTTTATTTTTTAAATTGCCCTAAAATGTGTCTCTAATGCATTACACTGTATCAGTTCGTTTGCTTGAGAAGAATAGAGTCTTCCTCGCCATGTCCATCAAGGCTCGCTTGACTTGCTGATTCCTTAGGCTGTAAATAAAAGGGTTCAGCATGGGGGCTACTGAGATGTTTAGCACAGCAACTCCCTTGCTCAAAGACACTCTGTCATTTGCAGACAGTTTAATATACACAAAAATGCAGCAGCCATAAGACATAGAGATGACAATCATGTGAGATGAACAGGTGGAAAAGGCCTTTGTCCTCTGACTAGTAGAAGGAATTCTTGAAATGGTTCCAATAATATATACGTAAGATAGAATTATTAATGCCAAAGTGAACAGTAGAATGAACACAGCATAGGAAAACCCCATTATCTCTAGGAATTTTGTGTCTGAACAAGAAAGTTGCAGCAGGGGAAAATAATCACAGGTAAAATGGTCAATAATATTAGACCTACAGTAATCAAGGTTTAAGAACAACATGAGTGCAGGGAACATGAATAAGAATGAAGCCAGCCAGGAAGCAAAGACAAGGAATATACAGACTCTCCGATTCATGATGATCATGTAATGCAGAAGTTTGCAGATGGCAATATAACGGTCATAGGACATTACAGCCAGAAGGTAAAATTCAGTGACTCCCAACAGAATGAGAAAAAATAACTGAGCCATGCAATCATTAAAAGAAATGGCTTTATCTCCTGAAATAATGGTGCTCAGGAACTTGGGTATACTGACAGTCGTGAATGAAACTTCTAATAAAGAGAAATTTCTGAGGAAGAAATACATGGGGGTCTGGAGGTGGGAATCCAGCAGGGTGAGGGTGATGATGGTCAGGTTCCCAGTGATGCTGAGCATGTAGGAGATGAGCAGAAAGGCAAAGATGACCACCTGGAGCTTTGGGTCATCTGACAGTCCCAGGAGGATAAACCCTGTTATTTCTGTGTGGTTTCTCATTCTTCAGTTATTAGTTTCCCTCCTGCCAGACCTTTGTGAGAAAGCACAAAGAACAAACTTGAAGAGTGGCTTAACACATATCCAAGTGTGGAGCTGGAATTTGGCTCAAATAGTATGGCATTTCACCTTCAGGGGAGATTGAAAGCAAATTGATAATAACCGTGATCCATTAATTTCCTCTCTTTTCTGGGTGAAAACTCTTCCGTTGAGGCCAAGTTAATAAAAGTCAGTATCACAAAGATTGCATTAGTTGGACAAGGATTTGTTCCCAGACTTTTCTGACTCCAAATAGCACCTGTGAACTTTCAGAGATGTGACCACGAGGTTCCTTCTCAATGAGAACCACCTTTGTGCTATTGCTCCGATCCCTATACAGCTGTTTCAGTATGCGTAAGTTAAAAAGCTTAATTACATCAAGAATCCTCAAAAATAAGAAAGACAGTTTATTATTTTTTTAAGTGACTATTTTGTCCTCAGCCGTCTGTCAATTTCTGCTAACCCTCAGCTTTTCCGACTCCCAGTACTACTTTCTTGGAAGACAGAAACACTAAAGTCATTGCCATGAGCAACTTCAGATGTAGAGATAGAGGGGAGGAAGAAGTGGAAAATAAATTAAGCCGGAAGTGCTTAAACTGACATTGATTTCATCTGAATCTCTGGCAATATTTTATGACATTTCAGCCTACTTATGTTTCATTTTGATGACTTTTATTCCTATGCAGCTTATTTCCTTTCTATTTAAAATGATTACTGTTATATTATTATTATTATATTGAAGAATTTCCCTCAGTTAAAGAGTTAGATAAGGGCTGTCCAAGACATAGTTCAATTTAATAGTTAAACTTCTTTATTTGTATGTGCTTTTAAAATAGTAAGTTTTAATTTTTCTTTTTATAAAATAAAACTTAAATGGTATTACCCTAGATGTTTCCATTAGGAAGAGGGAAGATGTCTGTGTTTGAGTCCAAGCCACTAACTAGGCCTGCAAATCATTTAGTCCCTTTGTGCTTCATCTATAAATACACAGTTTATGCCTCTGTATACAAGCCTGTCTCATAAGGTTATTGTGAGCATTAATTGAGTTAATATATGTGAAACATTTAGAAAGATGCTTAGGATTTAACAAAAATCTTATAAGGCTTTGTTTAATGGAGAAAATGTTCCCTAACCGCCAAGCAGAAAACCTTGGGATTAAGATGGTGTCCTGTATAAAAATCTGTGTCTAAGATAAATAATAATGAATAAATTTAGCACCAAGAGAACCACATGGGAACAATAACGACAACAACAAAATAAGGTCGAATCACCTGGTTGTACGGTACCTGTCAGGCATTCTAGGCAAGTGTATCTTAGTTTTGCTTCTCCACTTTGCGTACCTGGTGACCTCTCCCACCATGGTGTATCTGCCTTCTTCACCCCGTTACCACCCCCTAACCCATCTACACACACAATTCACTTTTATCTTCAGCTAGGATTTAACCAGCACATTTGAGGCATGTTCGGTATTTGCAACATGTCAACATTACTACCAATGGGCAATTCATTTCTCTGCCCTTCATTAGAAATAGTAACCTCTATGAGAATGATTGTGAAGCTTACATTAAATAAAATACATTATGTAACTGGCATTGTGAGTAGCAGATTTCTATGACACACAAATTCACCTCTTTCCTTATTCCCACAACACTAGGTTTAATACTCATTGTGTGAGTTCCATAAGAATCTTATACTCGTTCTTCCCAGCCCACCACACATCCTGTGCTGAAATCTCCTGTGAACTCCTCCACTGCTCTGGTATCGATGAAAGGTAGTACAGTCTTACCTTCAAAGCTGTTGCAACATAGTCCAGTGTCTCATATAGCCGTAGTGGGTTTAAACACTTGTCTAATTAATTAATATTGAGTTTGTTGTTGAATCACCTGCTAACGTCAGCTACACTTCTCTATTTTGCGACAAATTCTAGGCTGTGTATTACGCAGGTTGCATCTTTGTTTTACAGGAAATATTTTCCTACTTTACCTGATTTTCAGGATGTATTTATCTGCATGGCCTAAATTCCCTGTAGTAAGTAAATTTATAACAAAGGATATGTAAAGGAAACCATATTTTTTGATCTATAATTTAAAATTATAGATCACAAAACATTATTTCAAAATTCCTTAAATTTCTTCACAAATCATCCTTTTTATCTAACTTTCCTCCTGCTCAGTGCCATCACTCTTCCTTTACCAAGGTCTGCTTTTCATCGAATGAGCTAGTTTTTCATAACACCATGAAGTCACAAAACACATTCTCATCAACTAGACAAGATTTGGTTTCAATTTCAAGATTGAAATTTCTGAAACAACTTGTTGACACTAGAGATCCAGATTTTTAAAAATATATATTATTAAAATTCCATAGTGAATAATGTATCATTGCACTCTGTTTTTAACTTTATTTCAATGTTTTTGCATATTTGTTTTTCCTTTTAAGTTTCCTATTAATTTTAAGAATTTTCTGAATACTATACAATGACTTACACCTTTTGGCTACTGATCAAGCTTGTGAAGGAGTGTATGAAGAGCTGTGAAGAAAGGTATTAACAGTCAGGGTTCACGTGAACTTCACTGAAAGTGAATATTTATATAAGCAGTCTTCGAGGACCAGAGAAAACAGGCTTAAAGAAATCTAGCAAGAGATGATCCAATGCCGCAGAATTGGAGGTAGGATCTTACACTTTTTATGTAAAAATGTTTATGAAAATTCGGTGCATTGTGTTCACTTATCGACATCAAATAAGTCTGCTAAGAATCATCTGCATGCATTCGTCTCCCCTTTGAGAGAAATAAACTTAAATAATTAACAAGGTGCTTGTGATTCCCAGAGCATTAAGCCATCCCAAGGATATAGTCCTGAAGAGTCCCAAGGATATCTCCAAGCACTTAACTCACCTTCTCAGCTTTTAATTCTGAATGCTGATCTATACTTCCCCCCAGAGGAACATGGTTTAGATTATTAAACTTTATGTTTCCTTCCACCCATTTTATCACAATCAATTCTTACTTGCCTTCTAAGAATCCCTGAGGCAGACTCGTTGAGCTATTCAGAATGAAAACCAATAATAATAGTTCATATTTGTTAAATAAGATGATTACAAAGCATCTTCCAGGCATCATTCTGAAAACAACTTTATATCTTACCCTTCCAAATTCCCTACCATCAAGTTAATATTAGCAATAACCCTCTAGATAAACTAGATATTGATGATTTCTTTGATGTCTAGGGTGAGAAAAGGACTCTATATTAAAGAGTACATTAGGCTTGAAGGACCAAAGGATGTTCCTCCAAGAGACTGAAAGAAAAGCCTTACACTGGTTCCATTCTACTTCTGGTGTGTTTTGTTGTTGTTGTTGTGTTTAGTAATGTTTTATGTTGCACAGTATGGAATTATCCTTAAGAAATGCAGTAACTTTGAAAGTCTACTTGCTTCAAATTTTTCTATGTTTAGTAAATTCTCTCTTCACTTAACCTTCATTAGAGGTCATAAGAAAAATATCACAAATCATATCCCCAAAGCAGTGTGCTTTATTGATTATATCACTCAGTTTCTTTCTTATTGAGTTAAAGAGTGGTTCAGGGTTTAGGATTATACGTTAGAGAAAAGGAAGATTGCTTAATTCAATGCTGTGGGTAACATCTACTTTAGTTTCATAATTACTCTAAATTTACTTGGGGCACTGCTCAATCCTTCTACGTTTTGAGCCATGACACAGGGTTCCTCTTAGAAGATCTCTTGGCCTGAGTGAAACAAAGACTCCTCAGGAGAACCAATCCAGTGGTTGGAAGGGTTGTTTTACTAGATGCTTTTTACTCTTTTTCCACAATTATTTTAGATGACTATTTCCCGGGAGAAATCAGAAGAATTTATAATTCTTTATTTCAGTAATGATGGGCAGATTCAATTATCAGCATTCATACCAGTCTTCATCAAATCAAATCAAGGAAAAAGAGAAATCATCAAGTCACAACTAATGACAATTTCAGAAATGGTAACACTCACATCTGTAGGGGTTTATGGTGAATATCAGCTCATAATCTCACACCTTCAGTTCATTAGCAAGCCCCCTATAATTTAAACAAGGAAAGAAAAGTAAAAAGATGATAAGATTGTAGTATCAAAACACTATTAATTTATTATTTATGACATTCTAGGATAAATTCTTATCACAGCAAGTATCTGGGCTTTGCAGTTAGAGAAACATGGATTAAAATACAAATGGGCCACTTAATCCATTTTGGCCTTCGGATGAGTTACTTAATTTCTTTGAGTATCAGTTCTATTTAAAATTGAGTTGAAATTTCAAGAGTGTATTTGAGAATTAATTGAAATAATATAAATGACAGTACTGTATGAATCATGTGGCACTTAATATTCTTTTAGAATAGCTGTTTTATTATCTTTATTTTCCTTTTAGTTGGAATTTACCGTTGGGAAGGATATTCATAGTAATTACGATTTAGCAAAAGCATTATTTATACCAGAGAAATACTAAGGACTTTTGTATTTTATCTCATTTAGCCATTATAACACAACTATAAAACTTCTATCTTTATTCCCAAATAAATAACAAAGCTCATAGACGTTATGTACCTTACGTATTTTCAGACAGTTAGCAAATGTCAAATATAATCATGGACCACCTGAAATTAGCCTTAAACAAAGTACTACATTGCTTATATTCAATTAGAAACACACAAATGAGGAGACAGCAATTTCTCGACTTCACTTAGAGAATGAATAAATTTATATAATAAAAATATATAGTAACTTCTTTTTACACTTTTTAGTCTATCCGTTTGCAATATATAACTTCAATATATCCCATTCAATTTGATAAAAAATTGAGCTGACAAATAATGAATCAGTGATAGGGTTTGGGAGACTTCCATTGCCTCTGTATGGCCAACTTACCTCTGATATTCATACCTAACACTCAGAATGACTGAAATATGGAAAA